CAGTATGTTATTTATATATAATAGGCCTATAGCTTACGGATAAATAATTAATTATTATAATAATAATTCACATTAATTTAATTGCAATGTTCCTGTAATGTTGCAGGAACCTTTCATTAACAAAAATAACATTTAGCAACATTGCAATTAATACATTTAAGCAACATTTTATTTGTAAATGTAATGTTCCTGAGCCTGACATAAGGCTTTGTTGCAATGTTCCTGCAACATTGCCACAAGGATTTTTGTAACATTACATGTAACATCTAACAAATGTAACGTTCAGTAACATTGTAGAAATATTATTTTTCCCAGTGGGTAGTCTTTTTAAACCATGAAATGGCTGAAAATAGTGATTTTTCGAAAACATGAATTTTTATTATATTTTTTTGAACTCTTAGCTAATATTATTTGAAAATGTTTTCATTGCTTTTATATAGAGTAAGATCTTTGGTAACAAACGACATTAAAAAAATTTTGCTGGCAAGTTGTTCTAAGAATATATGAATTTATAAAATTAGACAATTCAGGTGGGCATATTGTGTATTTTGCTTAAAGCTGGGCTGTACATACAGCCACAGCCCAGTTAAAAGCAAAATACACAATAATTTTATTAATGGTTATTGGAGGCTAATAAGTGCCTGTGATGATAAGCATAAATTAGTTTAAATCGACTCACTCAAACATAGCCTTTTTAAACTATGAAATGGCTGAAAATAGTGATTTTTCGAAAACATGAATTTTTATTATATTCTTTTGAACTCTTAGCCAATATTATTTGAAAATGTTTTCATTGCTTTTATATAGAGTAAGATCTTTGGTAAAAAACGACATTAAAAAAATTTTGCTGGCAAGTTGTTCTAAGAATATATGAATTTATAAAATTAGAGAATTTTGACAAAAAATTGCATTTTTTTTAAATTCCCAAAGGCCATTTAGGGTATCAATAACTAAATGTGTCCTATATGGTTTAAAAGAGAAATATTTTCTTAACAATTAACAGTTTGTTTAATGTCGACAGCTTTATTAGCAAAAAACGTACAATTTTTTAAAGTTGGTCTGCATAGTAACTTTTGCGTAGCCCTGTATAAATAAATAAAGAAAAGGGGAGTTTTTTCACTTCTTGCGTCCAGGTCTACCTATTTACAGTTAAAAAAGAAATAAAATTAAAGTATATGAGGTGCACTCATTGGTGGCTAATAAATGGAATTACCCTATAGTAACGTTACTGTGTGTATTTTATTTAAGGGATCATGGTGAATTATTGTGTTTTTAACGAGGGGTAAACCACTGATATTTTAAAATTAAAAATCACTTACGAATTATTGGCTAAGGATAACAATAACAAGGGTAGTCAAGCGCAACGCGTCGCTAAGCACTGATTAAGCAAGTTTTTCTTATTGATAACGACTGATAAGAAAAAAAATCACAACACAACGTCCACTTACATTGAACGTTGGTCTCCAAGATTTTAAAGTGGTTTACCGGTTTTTAATTGTTAATAAAATTCCAAGAACTAAATCGTTGCATTTTCAAGTTTTGTCAAAGGATTTCGGAATTCGGTTGGTGCAGAATTAAGTAATGATATCTTTACCTAATATAATTCCTATTTAAGTTTGGACATTTTTAAGAAATTAGTAAAAAATAATTTTTGCACAAACATAACCTTAAAATCAACCATTTTTATATTTGAGTTCTCTAAAAAACGCCGACAACTGCATTTTAAACAACAAAATATACCTACGAATTCATGGCAACATAATATTATATATAATACATAGTATAATGGTATTTTACCGATGAGTGGATACTTTCTTAATCAACGCTTTTAATAATGCTAAATGCTGTTTAAATTTAGACGATTTATTTGTTTGAGGATTTTTACTGAATTGAAATGTTTACACTTTTCACGTTAATCATTACTAAAATATGTATTTATTGTATCTAATAGATACAATTTATATTTACAGGGACTGTATGAAATTTATTTCTTCATTCGGATTCACACTGTTTATTGGAAAACCGGTATAAGCTCAACCCAGGATTTCCTCTCGAAATACACCCAACAACTCAAAACATCGTGCCACGGTTTTTTTTTCCGATATTTTTTAACATTTTTCGGCTTTATTCTCAAAAACACTCGTTTGTAACATAAGCGTTGGACAGCTGATTATTAAAAGTTGTACTTTTGTTGATAACAGCAGAGTGGTGGCGCTACCAGCGATACTAAATAATAGCTATTTTCGCGGAGCTAATCCCGAACTAATTCTGGACATCCTAGGCATGCGCTTTTTAAAATTTGGCGTTCAAATTGTAAAGTGCGCATGACAAATATTAAAATGCGCATGCCTAGGATGAACTAGTTCGGGATTAGCACCGCGAAAACACATAATAATAATGAATAGATCAAGATAGTATTTTTGTTTAAAATACAATTTTTTTTTATAAAACTTTTCTCACTTCCAAAGCGACAGCTGATTGTGTGCTAGGCAATTATTAAGCTTTCGGCGCCGGGTTTTATATATTTTTTTTACAAGCATTTAATCATAGTTCAACACGATTTTTCTTCCATAAAAATTTTAACAAATTTTAAAAATAAAGGTTAAAAAGACGTATCCGTGTCTCACCGTTTCACGAAATCACGTTATTTAAATTTTTTACACAGCCATTCTTATTATTTTAACCTAAATAGATTTTTATTTCTCTATTTTGTTATAAATTATTTTTTACATAATACAAAAATTATACTTAAAGAAAATAACAATTTTAATGTTTCTTTAAGTAACAAAAAATATTTCTGGTTTTAATTTTTAATCTTTTTTTAATAAAACAACAGATTTGTATTTATCTTATAGTAAATATATATATTGGAAACAAATCTTGATCTTTTAGTTTTACGATTATACATTGCTTTTGAATCTATATTGGTATTACAGCCTAAAAAACACTTGATACACAAGGTGTTTCACATTCATGGTATATTGGAAGTTTCTGAGGAACGGAAAAAAATATCGAATTGAAATTTAAAATCGTTTATAATCCATTTAAGTCTATTTTTTTTTATATTTGAACAAAATGCAACTCCCGGTTTGACCGGAAGTGATATCATCTTTGTTATTTTAAATAGAACACCCCATATATTTTTACATTTTTAAATTCTACATAAAATTTTGAGTAAAATTACTGTACCATGTCCTATACCTAGAGTTGTCAAAAATAAATGACATGATCTGAAAAAAACGCCGAGACACAGGTATCATTTTTTAAAGTCTATTTTCAAAATCTATGGGAATTTTTCATGGGAGGGAAAAAAATCAAATTTTGTCGTACTGTGTAATAGGTAAATTATTTTAATCATTTAATCAAATAATTTCTTAATATTCTGTCAAATCATTTTTAGGTTACGTTCAACTGACGCGTCATGACGTTTTAGCTTTATTTCTGTACGAAGTTTAATAATAATTTGACTTTTGAAATAGTATTAATCACAATCCAAATGTGGATTGTGGTATTAATATGAAATCTTAAAACATATATAACATATAAGTCTATACAGTGGTGGTAATGTACGCGTAGTCCCCTTTGTAGACAAAGACGCTAACAATAGAGATGCCCATATAAGACGTGTAAAGTGTGGAGTGCCCCACCACTCCAGGAGTGGTGGGGCACTCTGCCTTGGGCAGACAACTTGTAGCGGCGTCAGACCAAAGTCAAAAATGTATGGATTTCAGCATCTTAGGGCCAATAATCTTGATGAATTAAGAGCAATGATTATAATCAATAATTATTGATACATTAATAAATATTAACCCTAATATGCTGTCAAATGTCCGTCAAAATTTTTACAACAGGTTGACGTATTGTTCGGCAGCTTTTGGGCAGCTATTTGAACATTTGCTTTAAATTATTTTTTCTTTACGTTTTTTAGAATACTTTTTTATTTGAGAATATTTGTTTTTTTATTACAAGAATATTATTGTTTATTTTTCACATTTCCTAAGAAATATTTGCAAGGAATTTTTGTTTCTGTAAACAAAATCATAATAAAATATTTACGTTGTTTTATAACAACCGACTACACCCTACCTCAGTCGTAATGAAACTGACACTAAATAGTGGCAAATCTCGAACATGTCGAGTGGGCGGGACCCGCCCGCCGGGTAACACAGATAGTTAAAGAAGGGGAAGTAAAACATTGGCGTGTAATAGACCGTTTTGATTTAATTGTTTTAAAATTTTCTACTGCACGCTCATGACGGAGGGGAATCACGTTTGTTAACCAGTCGATGGTTGTTAATCTCACTCTTTCGTAGGTACGTTTTATATTGCATGCATCTTTGTCACAATTTGGCCTAAATGTGCATTATTACCACTGTATACATATTATATATATAGACTTATAAATATTTATGTATATAGACCTATGAGCCTTATAAATTATTGTACGCTTGAAAAGAGGTGTATGGTTTTATTAAAATATATACAAAAATTTAACCTTCTTCAAAATATTCGGCTTTGGGTAAAATTAATCAAAAACCTACTTCATACTAGTAATTTTGGGGATTTAAGCCCGCTGCACAACAGCCCGGTAACGAGACCGGGAACCTAAACGGTAAAGGTGGGAGAGACTCAGCAAACACTATCTATCAACAGTGGTTTCTTAAGCCCGCTGCACAATAGCCCGGTAACGGGTACGGGAATCTTAACATTAGAGGTGGGAGAGACTAAAAAACCACTGTCGATAGAAAGGGTTCGCTGAGTCTCTCCCACCTTTACCGTTTAGGTTCCCGTTCCCGTTACTGGGCTGTTGTGCAGCGGGCTTTAGTCTCTCCCACCTTTCCTGTTCAGATTCGCGATCCCGTTCCGTAGCTTTCTCCGCCTGGTCCATAATCTATTATTTTAACAGCGTTATTTTCACAATGTGCCTATTAAGTCCAGGGAAATTAGCATTTTTACACTTTGAAGAGATAAATATCTTATTTTCCTTAAGTGATACTTACACAATCCTGCGTAGCAACACACTCATTATGTTGCAATAATTGTATAACAGAATCGGCTAGATCGCTGACAAATTCCTCAGGATCTGCACTCGCATCCATCTGATAGTAGGAAGGATTCGCCAATAATCTCCGGTAGAAAAAGGTGCTTTGAATAAACTCTAGAAGCTGTCCTTTCGAAGTAATGTTTCCATTGGCCACTTCGGCGTTGACGTGATCCGGAAGCACTTCAAGCAGATTGGACTCGACCGGAAATGGTTCGAAGAGGAATTTTCGGTAGAAAGCCTTCTTGTTCTCCTGAACCATGACGCAGGCGACACCCGTATTGTCGAATTGCGGCCTGCCGGCTCTGCCCACCATTTGTATCACGTCGGTGACGGGCATGTCCACGTAACGTTTGGTCGCGCCGTCGAAATATTCCGTACCTTTTTTTTCAATTAAACTCTCATTACAACATTGTTTAGATATAAATGTCCATGCTAGATTAGATACTGTGTGGTGGTGGGTATCGAAAAGGATGTCAACCACTATCCAACCACAATAAACTGGGCACAGTGCCACTGCAAGTTGCAGTCTGCAACTATATAAGCAAAATTATGTTTGGGGTATAGATTTGCACTACCACAATACGAGAACAAAGCTGGCCAAAATACAGGCTCTCCATGGAGAGCAGTGTATCCTCAAACTCGTTTAACTTTAATCTATATATGTACCCCAGAGTCAAAATATATTAAGGACACTTTTTTAAAATTACGTTACACATTTTTCCGCTCTTTCCAATTATAAACTGGAATAAGTCGTGGCTTACTTAGGACTTGGGCAAAAAATTTATAACGTGATTTTAAAAAAGGGGGCTTAATACAGTTTGGCTCTGCAGGACACATATACATAATTTTTTTGACCACAAATTTTAAATCTTAAATTTATAATAAATTTAAGTTTGTAATAAAAAAATATCTATTAAAACAGCGGTATAAAACCACATCAGCAACTATAAAAAGACATTTTTAATATTTGCATAATACAAATGCCGCATCGTGTATTTTAACTAAAATTAATGGCACGCCGCGTTTTTGTATTGATCAGAACTTAATATTATGGTTTTAAGATAATTTAAAAAACTTTTTTCAAAATAAAGTATTAATAAAATATTCCAAAACCGACGCTCGTCAAACGCGACCGTAAAGCCTGATTTATAGATTGTCTTCCTTTCTTCCTTCCTTCCTTCCCTAAAAATTTAACAATACGAAATAGATTACCGTACGGAAACCTATAAACAGCACTACGGTTTTCGCATTGTTCATCTTTTACAGGAGGAAGGTATAAAGGAAGGAAGGCAATCTATGAATCAGGCTTAACACAAGAGTGAAAGTGATACAATCTCAAGACCAAAACAACGAATCTTAAAGAAATCCAATGTTAATTTATCGAATACAAGTGCAAAAAATTTAATAATAAAAATAAAATATGTGGGAAAAGTGCGTGTGCCCCCCGCTTTAAGTCACATAGAGACCTAGAGGCGTAAAAGGGTGTGAGTGAGGTCACAACGATAATCTTACCTGGATTATTAACACATTCAACACGTGCCAACAGTGGCGTAGCGTGGACTAATATAGACGTGGGCGAAGTCGCATCAGCGAGGCCCCGTTTCTTTCGTTCCCAAGATCTAACCAATAAATCTATCTTACCAAACATGCTTTTACACGACAGCATTTAATGCGAAAACCGTTAGCCGTACGAAAAATGGTCAAGAAATCAAATTTGCCCTAAAATGAATGTGGATTTAAAAAATAATTTTTATTTTGAAAAATAGCAGTGGCGTGCATAATATTTTTCCAAAAATATCTAGATCACATCCTGTACGGACGCCACTGGTAAAAAAAATAAAAAATCTTCTAAATCAAAAACTTACTTTTAAATTAACAGTGTTAATGATTAGAAGACGTGTGCCAAATTTTAAAAAAATATCTAGGAAGTTATTAAAGTTATGATAAAAAAACGATTTTTTTCTTAAAACTTTAACACCCTGTAACTTAAAAATTAAGAGGTTTAGGACATAGGTTTATTTGAACTTTTTTCTTAAAATCAACTAAGGATTCACACCCTTAAGGTTCAGCATCTTATTCTGAAACACCCTGTTTACAGTGTGTCGCGCTTTTCATAAATCCACCCTTATATCTCAGTTATTAATAATGCGATTTTCTTTAAATTTGGGTGGTGATTGTATGTTGGAGACACTTAATATTTTCCATAGTAAATTTTTTTATTTATCATTGGCGTACGGTGTTAGGGGGTAAAAACTTTTTTAATCATATTCAGCAAATAAAATTTCTTTAAGATTTTAAGAATATGGATTAAGGGGTTTTTGGGGATGCTGAATCTATATAGGATTAAAAAATGTATCTAAAATAAGCCCTAATATCCTTTTGCCGAAAAATCGACCCCCTAAAACCGTACGCCAATGATAAATAAAAAAACTTACTCTGGCAAATATTTCATTTCTTCAGCATACAATCACCACCCAAATTTAAAGAAAATCGCATTATATATATTGGATTTATGAAAAGCTGGACAAATTATTAAACCAAACAAATGTGGCCCTTTTATTCGGCAAATGATGCACACACTATTCGATTAACTGTGTAATTCTACTTTACTTACATAACTAAACTTAAATAATAATTAAGGAACAATCATAAATGTTCTAAAACACATACAGCAAATTAAATGACAGTTATTTAAATCGCGAAAGGTGATATCTACATTACCTACAAGTTGTAGGCCACAACTTGGTATTTGTTTAGAGTCCTAATAGGTGACGTATTAAAGTGAAATCCATTGTAATCACTATTTCTGTGATTGTAATCAATTCAAATTGATTAATTATTAGTATATAAGGATCTTAAATTTACATATTTTTTAGGTTTTTATTTAATTTAAAAATAAACGGGCATTGGAAGTCTGATGGCATCGCATTTAAAGAGGCCTCGCGAGGCCCCTTTAAGTGCGAGGCCGTGGGCGAGGGCCCACTTCGCCTACGCCTAGCTACGCCACTGCGTGCCAATAGCGAGCGGTTGCGGTTGAGGTCAAGGAATAACGTACCGCCCGAAAACGACAAATCAACGAAACATGACCTAATTATACCTAAATTTTAAACTATAAACTTTAAATTCAAAATCCAAACGCAAACTTCGCAATCGCAAATTACCAAGAATTCCATCTGGCAATCAGGTAAACAAACAGACGCCATCAGTTCCCAATAAGTAAATAACTAGCAAGCCATAAACCAACACTTGATAAAGAAACGCCAACGCGACCTCATCAATCTCAATAAGGCCAAACCAAACCAAACATAAAAGGTTAACACTATAGTACTAGCACCATTTAGCAGATATAATTAAAGTACCACCCGACGAGACTATAAACAAAATAAAACGTAATGGCAAAATTACAATTTAATAAGTACAATTTAATAAGTACAGGCAAAGAAATAATGAATAAATGCACCACAATTTTTATAACAATTAAAAATGCGATTTTATAAATAAATAACATAGACAACGAAAGTGTTTAGAAAAATACGACAGAAACTGCCGAGGGGCATAGACAAAGACATACATAGTCCAGGATGCAATCTAACACCAACTCCACCGTTACGCACACATTACAGGCATGGAACGTAAAACAGAGGCGTACTTAAATGACCACACACAAAATGGGTTCAGGGTGCGACGGAAAACAAAACAACAGCATCGGACGTATTTAACGTCGTAATCAAAATACATCACGAACAGGGTGGAATAGACACATACAAACAGGAAGTACACCAACAAAGATAGGTCCTATCAGCGTACTAATCCACCTACCCCCAATTATGAACCCCAATTGAATGGGGTTATTATTAAAGCCTTGGTTGAGGAGGATTCCGGATTGTACTTAGTTTTGGGTCAGTTCAATGTCCGCCAAAAACCAACATGTTTTCCCTCCTTGTCTCGCTCTCCACTAGCCTAAATTCGGCGTATGGCTCGACCCTGCGACAAAATTCCGGGAAAGGCCTTAACCATCGTCATTGTCATCCAAGACCCCCTAGAGAAGATCTACCAGCCGGCGTAAAAATTCGGATCAAACAAACACAGGTAATGCTGTGTAACTGCGGGATACGTATGAGAACGGAAAGGGGGCAAAATAAATCTGGGAGATCAGTGTAAGGCGATATCGATGGGGCCTGCCATACGTCCCCATACTTATACTCATTCCGATACCGGGAATCACACCCGAGCCTCCCCGGGTAAGCGCAAGTGCAAATGAGGAGTGCATTTAAAATATTCCATGTAAATGTTTATCTCGATGTTTATAAAAAAAGACAGAAGCGTAGTTATTGAGATATCTTGCCCGCTTGCGACAACTAGAGAGAAATGAGTTTATTTCTCCCGCCGAAAAATTTAAAAAATTTAATTTATTGCAACGCGACATCGCGTTAAAAACGCTTTTTAGGAAAATAAAACACATTCTTTCTATATCATTAAAAAAGTCATGGTAAAAAAAAATAACGTACCTTTTACAATGACCAGCCTGGCAGGGAAGTTGACGCCCCATGCCAAAGTGGCCGTGGCTATGAGCACCTGGATTTTCTGGTTGACGTACAAGTGCTCGACGATCTGCCTGTCGGATTCGGTTAAACCGGCGTGATGCATGCCAATACCAAAAGTCAGCAATTGGCACAAATCCTGATCTATCAGGCGGTCTTTGACGGAATCAAGCTCCGTCTGGTCGCAATGCACCCACTTTTGCGGGTTCGCGTCCGACAACAAAAATTTCATCAACTCGTAACCGGTGATGCGGGTTTGTTTTCGCGACGACACAAAAATTAAAGCCGAACTGTTTTCTGCGTATTGACAGATCGCCTGGTACACGGATTTGTTCATTGCCGCCATGCGGGGGCAGTAGTGTTTAACTTGGAAACCTTGCAGGTGGATTTCCAGAGGCACCGGTCTAACGGCGGAACTAAAGTTGAAAAGACCCCTCTGAAAATTACAAAATAAAAAGTTTAATTTAATGTCTATAATTATAGATACCGTATTTTATACAATCGATGAACCCGAACGCCCCTTTCCAGATGCCCCTCCCCACCCAGATAGCACAAGAGGTACCCAGGACGTCCATTTCGGGTCCCACATAGGTCCGAACGTCCTAGACCTATATCGGAAGTTTTGGGTACGTCCAGTCTCTTACTTATTTGGGAAAATTATAGTGGATATACTGAATACGTCCCAAGGACGTAATTGAAGCATTGTTTTTCCAAAGGGTCTAAGTGCCAAGTTGGTTAAATAATATATTATTTAAAAATAGTTTGTGTCATGCAGAATGACTTAATAGTATATTCTGTAACAAGTTTGGAATACAGCATATCCGCTCGAGTGAAGAGTTTGTCACACGAGCCGAAGGCGAGTTTGACGGTTTCATGAGAGCGGAATATGCAATTCCAAACGTGTTTCAGACATTTCAACATTTACATGTGCAAAATATTTGTTTTTCATTGATAAATCACAATTTTATTTTTGTAACTTAGACCCCCCAGACAGCATCCAATTCAGAAAGATTTCTGTACGAAGTCTGTTGAAAAACATCTTACTGAGGTCAAAATATGACATCTTAGAGAAATCATTTTTAGGAGCTCAAGATTAAGAGTTCTTGATGAATTCATAAATAAGAAGTAAATTTTTTAACATCTTAAAGTATCTTTTTTTCTGACCTCTTATTGGAATCAAAATTAGAAGCTACTAAGGGTAGGTATCATAAATAAGACTTTAGTTATATGATATCTTACAGTATTCTCTTTTCTTATATATTACTTCTTACTGAAATTATATTATTAACTCTTTAAGACGTCAACATGGAAACGTCACATTTATGACATTTTAATGCGATTCTTTCTTCTTACCGCTGTAACTGCTTGTGTTTGATATAAGAAGCGGCGAAGTAGAATTTAGAGCGTATAATCTGTGGCGTGCTCCATACCAAACGGTCTTAGACCTAGGTAAACGGCTACCCGATACTGACGAACTCCAAAAGAGGGAAACAGGCCGTCTATCGGTGCCGGTGAAGAGCACGCTTAAATTTAAACAAAAGTGAGACGAAGTAATCGCAATTCCTAAAATAAGCGAGTACGAGCAAATTATTTAAATGATTTTAATAAAATCCATTTAACAAATTAATAAAATAAACTTGACATGTCAAAATAAGCAACGATCCATTAGTCCCCAATAAAGCATTTCAGGATGGCCAGAGGATGTCTTACTTAGGACGTTCTGGGGACCGACGATTTGGTAACATCGGATGTCCCTGAAACGTCCTGGGGAAGGTTCAGGACCTGATTCGGACGTACTCGGAACTTACTAATGTCTGATACAAGATATACTCAGGACGTTTTTAGTACTTCTTTGTGCTATCTGGGCAGCGGGTTGCCGTAGGCGACGATTCAGTTGTGTTTTGCATTTGCTTGTGTGTATTTCGAGCGTTTTAACATAAACTAATTTATGTTATTTAAAATTATAAGTTATAATGTCCTACACAATGCAAGAGAAAATTGACATGATAAGCTGGTGTGCAATTCTTTACGTCAAACAAGATACCTATTCTCAGTTAAATATCCGGATCGTCCTATTTCGTCAAAGAGAACTATCCAAAGTTTTAAAACAAATGGTTGTATTTAATTAATTTAATTATTTATTTACATTTATTTTAAGATGTTTGATTTTTAGTTTTTTTAAAGAGATTTTTTTTGGTTTTGGACTTTTTGTCTATCTAGCCAGTCACTAACTTGTATAATCACCATAGTACAAACACAACAAACATCATCTCAGCTCGCAGTCAGGAGCAAATCAAATCAACACCAGGGCCGTTTTTAAGAGAATTGATTTATTTATTTTAATTTGTTTTCAAGAGAATTATTTTAGTTTTTAAAGAGCATTTTTTATGTTTAAACGTTTTTTTTATAAGAAAACACTTTTAGTTAAATGCAAAACACCTTTAATTAATAATTTAATGTTAAAAGTGATTACGTTACATTTTAAGTATCTGAATCATTTTTAAAAGTAAATTAACTTAATAATGCCTAATTCGTATTTAATATCCAGAGCAAACTTCGACTATCGCCCAACGACGGTGCTGAATAACGAAAATTATTCTTCCACTTTTAAAAACCGAATTTTTTAATATTTTGCTTTAAATTTTAAAAAGTTTCTGCTGCATTTTGGTTTAGATTTTTGATTTTGTACGTCTTTTTTCAAAAGTTGAACCATTTTAATTTTTTTTTAATTTATAATCATTTTAAAATTTTTTTATTTTTATATTTAAATTTCTAAATATTTAACTTTTTTAAATAAATTTTCATTAATTTTTTAAAATTCACAACAGTTTTTTAATATTTTTTTTATAAATCTAAATATAAAGTCAAATTACAATTTTTATGAATATCAAAATTTTTTACGATCTCGTATGATTTTAGGCACATTTTTACATTTTCAACAGTTTTAACATTTTTAGTATATTTTCTTTTTTATTTTTGTCATTTTTTAATTTTGTATAGCTAAATCCTGCAGGATCTTTCTCTTGAAGTAAAAAATTTTTATACCTACTGAGAATAAAAACGTACTCACCTTATCGGCGTTCAACCAATAAGCCAGATCGCCAGGATTCGCCATGGCAGTCGACAGTCCCACAATGCGAATCTGTTTGTTTGACTTGCTATTGATGCAGTTCATTCTCGACACAATCACCTCCAAAACGGGACCTCGGTCCTCGCCCAAAAGGTGAATCTCGTCGATCACCATCAAACCCACCTCCTTGACGAAGTTTTTCTCCATCCAGTTCCTGCTCATTGCGTCCCACTTTTCCGGCGTCGTGATTATCACGTTGGCGGACCGAATCAAATCGGAACGCGGAGTTATATCGCCGGTGACTTCGACCACTGTTTTCGAGATTTTTGCGAATTTTGCCGACCAGTCCAGCACTCGTTCTCGGACGAGCGCTTTCATCGGCGCGATATAAACCACTTTGAGTTGCGGCTGATTTTTAAACAACCTCAGCATGCAAAGCTCGGCAACGATGGTTTTGCCGGAACCTGTGGGAGCGCCCAGTATAACGGGCGTGTCTGTATGGTAGCAGGAATGGAAAACCTGGCTTTGGACGGCGTTGAAGTGCGTGAAAGAGTACAAGCTTTCGTACGATTTGTCGCGTAGCAAGTTTTTAGAAAGAGGTTGCACGTCCAAAATTTTCGTTTGGTACGATTTGCTGGAAAATATTTTCATTTCTTCCAGGTTTATTACCTCGATTGTTTCGGAGTCTAAAAGATAAAATTGTATTTTCTTATTTAAAATAACAAAAATTACCCTGGTAAAAAACAAGGTTAGCACAACAAATTGCTTATTGATTTTTTGTTATGGAATGAACGTTAAAAATTTGTAATGTCATGTTAATTTTACTGAAATTGACAACAATAATTGAATAATTAAATATAATATTATTTTATAGAATATCTGGAAAAATAGTACTGGGGCATACTAAGAAAATTTATAATTATAATTAATTTTAAAATTGGCCAAAAAATAACTGGACAATCAAAATTTGTCCTAATTTAAAAAAAAAACGTAAATTGACTTTGTTAATTATCTCAAAAAATTAGTACTGGAGAAAATTAATTTATTATTTATTTATTAACATTAATTAATTAATTTATTATTTATCATTTATTTATTAACATTTTTTCAACATTTATTAACATTATTTTTTAAATTGGGTAAAAAATAACAAAACTACAGACTGTCAAAAATGATCTAAATATCAAAAAAATAAAAATGTTTATTTTGTGGATGATCTCAAAAAAATAGTACTGGGGCATATTAAGATATTTAGATTGTCCTATAGGTACTTACACATGAATTGGCTATTGGAGACCCTGACAAAATATTCCAAGGATAAAGGTTTCGTGAGCGGTACAGTAAAAACTAATTCGATGGGATCTTCGCTGACACACAATTTTTTTGTAATAATAAAACTCTCGAAATGATAGATACTATCGTGGGTGGGATCTTCCACCCAGGCGTAATAGTGCTGCACGGTGCCATGGTGCGCATGGTCCCACTTGAATTTAGGCGTAATAAGCAACCTTACTCTAATCACACCGTCTGTGATCGGCTTTACGGTCACGTCGACCAGAACCTGTGGAAATATCTGGCAACAGTGCCTCACCCTGTTGCCGACGTGTTTGCTTCTAAACAGTCCCTCCAATTCTCTCTCGGACATTTCTCTCAGTTCATGGATGGGTATGTTGAGGATGTCCATGGCGCGATGGCTTGCCAAGTGCGGAATCAGTTCTTTGAACTGCATGAGAGGATGGTGATGGTCCCACAGCTGTTGCTCCAGCATTTGGGCAAGTTTTAGAGTGCGAGACACTTGCAGGGCGTAGTCTTTATCCTTTGCAATTTCGAATAAAGCTCTTGCGAGTCTTGTAACCGTCTAAAATTACATATTATTATTATTATTTATTAGTACTTAAAAATATTGTTTTTCTTAACAGAAATTCTAGCCCTGGTAGAAAATAACGTTTTCCCACTCAGACAACGTTGTATGTTATTTTTTAAGGGTTAACGTTGTTTAAATATATATTTTCATGCTACAAACATAAGGTTTAGTGAATACATTGATAATATTGATGTTTTTAGGTTTTTAACCATACTTAAGAAATTTCGCACAACGTTGCCTTTCGCGGGCGAAATCCATAGAAAATAGCATCTCGTGATCTCTGATCTGATTAGGGGACATCCATTAATTACGTGAGGCACTTTTCTGATAATTTGGACCCCCCCTCCCCCTTGGTGAGATTTGTGAGATGTGGTAGACGTCCCTTTACGGACAACATTTTAAAGAAATGAATAATTTGAATTATAATACATATCAACTCAAAAGTTGACGTAAGATTTTAAATGACCCCCCTCCCTTAAAATGAGATTTGGTGAGATTTTGCTGGACCCCCATTTTTGTCTCACGTAATTAATGGATGTCCCCTTATGGGTCTTACACAAGGAGTCCGAACTTCATGTTTACAAATGGCTTCCTAAAATAAGATAGCGCTGGTGTTCTGTTAACCCTGCTTAAAATACCCCATAGAGACCCTATTTAAACCGATAGATATTTGTATCGGAATGGATGGTGTATCTATAGGGTGTATCGGTATGTATAGGACCCATAGTTGGGATTTATGGTTGTTCTATAGGGATATCCACCCTTGATTTATTTACTATTGGTTTCAATGGGGAAAATACACATAAATGAAGAAATTAGTTTTTCCCCCATAGGACCCCATACGTTTTAATAAAATTTTGTCAAATGTTTTATGGTTGTTCTATAGAGATATGATAACCCTATAGAACAACCATAAAACGGATATCCCTATATATCCTTTATTGAGTTATTTGCTATCGGTCTCAATAGGGAAAATGTAAAAGTTATGGTGTGCCTATAGGTAATTTCCTATACATTTTCTATCGGGCCGTATCTGGAAAAAACCATGGACAAATGCACATATTGAATCCGGTAGCGCCCGATAGATTATTTTATATAGGTCTCTATGGGGTATTTTAAGCAGGGTTTTGTTTGGTTTGTACAGAAACAATTCCAAAACAACATACGTCAGTGCACATTGGAAATCAGCGTCAGGGTTGCCAGATCAGAATTTACCCAAACGGAATTTAAAAATCCCCTAAATTTAGGAATTAAAAACAAAAATCCCCAGATTTTTTTTTGATTAATTATTCTTTTCACCTGAGACCTCAGTTAATCTCAGCTCACATCGGTAAAATTTGCAAATGCGCTCGTTCTTTTTGCTTCACTCACCTTAAAGTGAGCTGAGATTTTTCCTTCCCCCTCACCGATACTGCACATGCTGTGCGGGGGAATCAGTTTGAATTAAGTCGGAAATAAAGTGGAGGGGATAAAGAAATTATTGATTTGTTAAGTTTTTAAATAACATAACCTAATCTTTTTTAGGTGATTTTTTGCAATAAAACTTAAATTTTGTAAATTAGCTATAAACTTAATATAATAAATAGAATTCGAATAAAATTGTTTTTCAGAAGTAGAAAAACACTTTTTACAATAAAGTTAAACAAAACATGTTTTTATTTTGTCATAAAATTAATATTCTTATCAAAAAATTGTTGTTTTTGTTTGTCACCCAATTATGAAAAGAATAAGTATTATAGATCGGAAAACGTATTTAATATATACTCTAATTTATCCACTGAAGATGCACAGAGGGTGCAGGAAGGTATTATCCATAAAGGCTGATTTATAGATTGCCTTCCTTCCTTCCTTCTATATATTAGGCTTAATTAATTCAACGCAAATTTAAACATAGAAAAACACGAAATTTAAGGATATGACACAGAACATAATTATATCAGAGATAGGTTATGTTGCCTCTTATTCACGTATTCGCCGTCAGATTGCGCGTTTCAATTGAGTGTGTTGTTCTTTTTAATGCTTACTCATATCACTACATCTCATATCACATTAACTGAAGTGAGCTGAGATCTCAGGCGAAAAGAACGCACCTATTATTGAATTCTAACTATTCTTGTTAATAAAATATGTTTTTCATATCTATGAAATCCCCAAAAACAGTTTGTGTTACGAATACATTCCTAAATTTAAAAAAAGACAAAAAAACATATCTTATTACATAATAATATATATTAAATAAACTTAATAGGTTTTCTTCTAAAAATACTTCTTATAAAAATCTTTGGGTTATGGAAAGCAATGTTTTTAAAACATTTCCAAAACAAATTCATTATCGTTACAGTAACATACATCATTAAATTTATTTAACATAGTTTCGGTTGGTATAAACATGACACAACTGTGAGTTTACGCACTGCGTTAACTTGAAATGGCGCCACTTACATACATATAATAAGGTACTTAAAATAAATGTTTCAGATATGTCATCTCAAATACTTTCAAAAGTATACATAATATGTATAATATTATTATATATATTAGGTTGTTTCAAAATAATGCAATATTTTTCTTTTTTCAAATTCATGTGAAATTCTTGTACCTTATGCTAAAAAAATTATTTTTCCTTGTTAAATCAATGGGGAAATTTTAAATTCGATGATGGACCTTTTAAAATTAATATCGACTCTAAGATTTTTGTAGATAATTTAATGCTAAAAAGGACCAGTGATTGTTTATCAAAAAAAAGTTCTACATAGCATGCAGGCGAAATAAATCTTAAAAAACTATTTTTCCATGTTAAATCAATGGAAAAATTTTAAATTCGATGATGGACCTTTTAAAATTAATATTAAGAGCTCAAATTTTGACAGAATTTTTTTTATAGCATAAGTGACGAGAATTTTACATGAATTTGAAAAATATTGCCTTATTTTGAAACGACCTAATGTATATATGTCATCTCTTCATAGGATTTTGAGATTTAATATTTAAAAGTTTTTATAGAGTACCTAGTGGTAAAATCTTAAATCCTCTTAAAGACCCTAAGTGAATATTTTTTCCCCAGAAGAAATCCCCAGACAAAAATATCACCAAAAAATTACCCAAACAAAAAAAATACCCTCATTTTTGGGGAAAATCCCCTCATCTGGCAACCCTGATCAGCGCCGCTGGTGGTGAAAAAAGAAAACCTAATATGTGTGATTTAGTGGACATGTTTTGTCAATTTCCCCTATTAAGTTCGGACTTCTTGTGTAGGCTCCATGGCTTAGATTCTCTCCCACTCTCTCCAATTAGCTTTAAGTTAAAATTGAAAAAAAGTGAAGTGAAAACTGTTTGACAGTTGTCCTCAGATAAAATATCAAATACAATTGGGTTTAAATTCCTTGCAGTAGTTTAAAATAATACCTAGTTATAATTATAGTTATATAGGATGTCGCGAACCAACTTAAAGGTGGATTATCTACAGACCCCCAGGAATCCCAAAAAATTGTTAAAAAAATGCTACCTTTATTTTAAAAAGATATGAGAGCGTAAACATTGAGTTTTTAAACTTAAAAATAATAGGTTTACATTCATTATATTCTTTTAATAATAGTATTATAACATAGATTAGATCTAATGTACAGAATGTTCAAACATTTAAATCAAAATAAATTTATTTCAATATAAAATAAACAAAATAAAAAGTTGACAAAGTAAAAGGGCCGCAATCCCAGGCAACACAGGGTCGTAGAAATCACGTAGAATCGTCGACGAATTGGGTCGAATTTGGTCGAAGTTACATTTCAACCATTTTTCGACGTCTCAAAATTCACCAAAACACGACCAAAAATTAACTTAGGTCGATGACAACCAATAAATGACGTCATTATCACGTGAACAGATGACGAAATTTTTAAGAAAATATGAAAATATAGTGATAATTAATAAGAAACAGTTGGCCCGTTTCAATGGGCCGACAAAAAGTTTTGGAATATTTTTAAAAACAAAAATTATTATTTTTATTTAATTTACGTTATTTCGACGGAGAATCAACGTGCAATATTTTATTAAAATAATTTTAAACATTATTTGGTTTTAAACTAATTAAGATAGATTATTGATCAATGGATTTTTTAAAACAAATTCGCGATTTTTAAATCCTTTATCATTTTATCACAAAATAAGAAATTAACATGTTACTGCAGTTGACAATCACAATTTTAATTTTAGTAAAATTATTTATCTACAGTGTTGCCAGATGTTTTATAATTTTCTTTTTTAAAATAGTAAAATTTAAATAATAATCGATAATTGTAACATAATTTAATCCGCCGCGTAGTTTTGCTTGTTTTTATACAATTTTTGTTTTGATAATTTTATATAATTTTCTGTAAATTTGATCATTTTGTCAACCCTCTTCGATAATATTAATTTTTACACCTGGCAACCCTGTTTCTCTTTGGCCTTGGGTAAGTTGGCACTACTTACAAAGCGAGGGAACGTTTATTCCTAAAAAACAATATGGTTGATTCAAGCGTCCAACTTTTATAATCTGTGGCATTTATACATAGAACAAACCATTTATACTGATAATACTTTGGCTGTGTCAGGTACTATCGCTAACAAAAAAAACTCATACAGCTTAAAAATCTAGTGTTCCTGATTTTCTATCATTTCGTTGGAGTAATTATGGCTTTTAACATAATACGTCACATTTGAAAGGTCTAAAATTAAATACAAAGTTAGGTTGAAGTTTGAAAAAAAAAAATATTTCGTCATCCCTCTGTTTTTGTCAATTACTGCCCGCAAACGGCAAAGCATGGAAGTCGCCGTCTTGCTTTATCTCGTTCCAAATGGCTTCAATGGCTTGCCAGAGTTCGTCTGCATTGTTTGGTTGAAAATGTTGTTAAAAAAGTCATAATGGATGTGACAAAGCTCGATGTCAGCTTGACATTGACGGAAAAGTTTTATTCACACAGCCACAATATAGCTGTATGAGTTTTTTTTGTTAG